TGAAGCATCATCAAGAATGGGTTAGTAGACTTCCTTCTTGGCGCAGTGGTTAAGAATCCACCTGCCAATGCAGGGAACACGGGCTCGATCCCTGGTCCGGGAAGATCCCACATGCCGTGGAGCAACTAAGCCCGTGCGCCAACTACTGAGCCTGCACTCTAGAGCCCGCAAGCCACAACTACTGAGCCCACATACCACAACTACTGAAGCCCACATGCCTAGAGCCTGTGCTCCGCAACAAGAAAAGCCACTGCAATCAGAAGTCCGCGTACCACAACAAAGAGTAGCCCCCGCTTGCTGCAACTAGAGAAAGCCCACATGTAGCAACGAAGACCGAACACAGCCAAAAATAAATAAATAAATTAATTAATTAATTAATTTAAAAAAAAAGAATGCTATGTTTCCAAGTAAACCCACTCCACAGGAGAGTGAAGTTATTCATCACCTAAAGACGGCTTACCACAGCAACAAACAAACAAAAGGATGAAATATCAAATACCTAAGAATGGGTATTTTAAAAGCAATTTCAGAGGCAAAATCATGCAAACTAAAGAAAATATGACATCAACAAAAGTCTACATTCCCAGACTAAGTAGAGAGGTAAAAGAACAAGAAAAATACAATATATTGGGGTCAGATATTATAGAACTTTAACACGGGACCATGGGCTCTACCCATAGTCACCAAGCTCAGAGATTCACATATGCTCCCCATGTGGGACTGGGGATCAAAGAGAATCTTTTCGTCCGTACTGTTTATAGTTCTCCTAAGTAACAGTTACAGAAGATCCAACCCATTTCCCCATTACACACCGCCCAAAAGTATGTGGCAAAAGCAGAACAGAAGAAATGGTTGAGGGGGAATTCCCTGGCAGATTCACTGGTTAGGATTCCGGGTTTTCACTGCCACGGGCCCAAGTTCAATTCTTGACTGGGGAACTAGGATCCTGCAAGCCACACGGCACAGCCAAAAAAAAAAAAAAAAAAAAAAAAAAAAAAAAACAAAAAAGTGGCTGAGGGATCTGAATGGCAGACATGACCTGAAACAGATCCATGCAGGTTCTGAGATGCCAGATGGAATCAAAGAGCAGCCACTGTTTTCCCATCATTTAATTAGTTCTTCCAAGTACACCAAACTGAGACAGGTCCAGGGGTTTGGACTATGGAGGCCTCAGCTCTTATCTATATGGACTAAAAATTGAAAATCCCATGCAATCAAGTACAGAAGAAGAGACCAAAGGGGAAACAGATTCCTTTGAAACAGCTCACCACGTGCTACTCAAATCAAGCAACAAGACCCTGACGGCAGAGTGTAGATCACGATAAAGACCTTGCCTTTGATTCTACTGGAGCTGCAGCACCACAGGGAGGTGAAAGGATGAATTTTACACGTTGAAGGATAGTGTGCTATGTTGGGGAGAAGAAAAATTTCCCCTGAGAAAAGTTCATAAGTAATAAACTTAGCATTTCCTAAAGAGCTCTCCAAACACCATTAATGGTGTGGCTTCCTCTCTGCCCATCTGAGTTCTGACCTGCGTTCATACTTTTTTTTTTTTTTTTTTTTTTGCGGTATGCGGGCCTCTCACTGTGCGGCCTCTCCTGTTGCGGAGCACAGGCTCTGGACGCGCAGGCTCAGCGGCCATGGCTCACGGGCCCAGCCGCTCCGCGGCATGTGGGATCTTCCCGGACCGGGGCACGAACCCGTGTCCCCTGCATCGGCAGGCAGACTCTCAACCACTGCGCCACCAGGGAAGCCCCGTTCATACTTTTGATACATCCCCAGCCATTGTTTTTTTTGCTATTTTCATGTCACTCTTCACAGTCAATGGCTCTTCCTCTTGTTCCAAAATGCAAATAATATTCAGGTCAGGAACAGAAATAACTGCCGAAAAGAGAAAATAAATAATATGTTGTAGGTTTTCCAGAATCCCAGCTCTTTGATCAGCACAGGAGTGAGCACACAACAAATGGATCTCAAAAAATATTTCACAAATTCATTCATTCACTGCTTGCCTCCTTCTGAATGCAGAGAGAATAGTATAATATGCAGATAACTGGCTTTCTTCCAAGAAGTAGTGACTCAGGGCTTCCCTGGTGGCGCAGTGGTTAAGAATCTGCCTGCCAATGCAGGGGACACCGGTTCGAACCCTGGTCCAGGAAGATCCCACATGCTGTGGAGCAACTAAGCTCCTGTGCCACAACTACTGAGCCTGCACTCTAGAGCCCACGAACCACAACTACTGAACCTGTGAGCCACAACTACTGAAGCCTGCACACCTAGGGCTTGTGCTCCACTACAAGAGAAGCCGCCACAATGAGAAGCCTGCGCCCTGCAATGAAGAGTAGCCCCCGCTCGCCACAACTGGAGAAGGCCCACGTGCAGCAATGAAAACCCAACGCAGCCAAAAATAAAAATTAAAATAAATAAATAAATTTATTTTTTAAAAAATAGTGACTCAAAAGAACAGCGGTATGAAATAGGGAAACAGATATTTTAAGTTTCCAATTGGGCTTTATCAATACTTAAGCTCTGGAACAACTCCTGGTGTATCATGAAGTGGGCAGATCACCAGAAGAAAGGACAGCGTTAAACTCCTGACACTACACCATGAAGCTTTTCATGTCTGAGTCAACAGGGCTTTGAACTCAGTGAGGCAATGCAGGGGCTCCCAAAAGGTACAGAAGGGAAAATGCAAATATACATAAGGGCAGATCCCAATGTCTGGAGGGAAGTTATCCTCACCCAGGAAGAGAAGGTTCCTGTAGTTCTCCAACATCACGTCCCTGTACAAGGCCCTCTGAGCAGGGTCCAGGCATTCCCACTCCTCCTGAGTGAATTCAATGGCCACATCCTTGAAGGTCAACTGTTTCTGAAATGAAAACACATTTCAACGAGGGGCCATGAGGAGAGTCCTTATTTTCGCACAAAATGAGAAGAGGAGAGAGGGGTAAGGATCAATTCAGTTGAAGTATGTATTCTGACAGATCCATGTTAATGTATTTAGAGCAAATTATGGGTCTCAAATGTTAATTTCTTATGCTTTTTCATAGAGATTATAATACCTTCCATTCAATATGGATTTTTCATTTTTTTGGACAATACATGAAATGCATACAAATAAAATTCAACAACAGATGTCCAGGTAGAAGTGTTATATATTATGTTTCACACACTGAGTGATATTCAATATTTAGATGAGCTACAGTATGACTGTCATTCAGAGATGACAAAGTCCACAGTGGCTTTAAAGAAAAGTCAAAATCTTAAATTATGATGATGATACCAAGAGCAATGACTAAAGGTGTCTGAATGCTTCCTATATGCTAAGCATTACTCTAAATGTTTTACATGTATGAACTTGTTATCAACATAATAGCTCATTAGAGAAAGTCCCATTCTTATTTCTCAGAGGAGTAAACTGTGTCCAAGACACTCTAAGAAACTTGCCTCAGAACAAACAGCTAGGAAATGGCACGGCAAGCACGAAAACTCAGGTAGTCAGACTTTAGAATGAAACATAAAATATCAAAGTTAAGTGACGGATAGAGGATAAATGTACACTGACAGAGGGTTCCCTGAGAAAACTTGAGACAATTTCAAGGTTAACCTATAGAACTGCATAAAAGGTCACTACACACACACACACACACACACACACTCTGAAGATATTAATAATCTTCCTACTATAAAACATTAATGTGATAGTGTAGGAAAAATTTAAAGCCATGGAATATACTCAAGATATAATTTCAGGGACTTCCCTGGTGGTACAGTGGTAAAGAATCTGCCTTACAATGCAGGGGAAGCAGGTTCAATTCCTGGTCAGGGAAATAAGATCCCACATGCTGCAGGGCAACTAAGCCTGAATTCAATGGCCACATCCTTGAAGGTCAACTGTTTCTGAAATGAAAACACATTTCAACGAGGGGCCATGAGGAGAGTCCTTATTTTCGCACAAAATGAGAAGAGGAGAGAGGGGTAAGGATCAATTCAGTTGAAGTATGTATTCTGACAGATCCATGTTAATGTATTTAGAGCAAATTATGGGTCTCAAATGTTAATTTCTTATGCTTTTTCATAGAGATTATAATACCTTCCATTCAATATGGATTTTTCATTTTTTTGGACAATACATGAAATGCATACAAATAAAATTCAACAACAGATGTCCAGGTAGAAGTGTTATATATTATGTTTCACACACTGAGTGATATTCAATATTTAGATGAGCTACAGTATGACTGTCATTCAGAGATGACAAAGTCCACAGTGGCTTTAAAGAAAAGTCAAAATCTTAAATTATGATGATGATACCAAGAGCAATGACTAAAGGTGTCTGAATGCTTCCTATATGCTAAGCATTACTCTAAATGTTTTACATGTATGAACTTGTTATCAACATAATAGCTCATTAGAGAAAGTCCCATTCTTATTTCTCAGAGGAGTAAACTGTGTCCAAGACACTCTAAGAAACTTGCCTCAGAACAAACAGCTAGGAAATGGCACGGCAAGCACGAAAACTCAGGTAGTCAGACTTTAGAATGAAACATAAAATATCAAAGTTAAGTGACGGATAGAGGATAAATGTACACTGACAGAGGGTTCCCTGAGAAAACTTGAGACAATTTCAAGGTTAACCTATAGAACTGCATAAAAGGTCACTACACACACACACACACACACACACACTCTGAAGATATTAATAATCTTCCTACTATAAAACATTAATGTGATAGTGTAGGAAAAATTTAAAGCCATGGAATATACTCAAGATATAATTTCAGGGACTTCCCTGGTGGTACAGTGGTAAAGAATCTGCCTTACAATGCAGGGGAAGCAGGTTCAATTCCTGGTCAGGGAAATAAGATCCCACATGCTGCAGGGCAACTAAGCCCACATGCCACAACTAGTGAGCACTCCCGCGCCTAAAATAGAGCCCGCGTGCCGCAAACTACAGAGCCCACGTGCTCTGGAACCCCCACACCACAACTACAGACCCCATGCACCCTGGAGACTGAGTACCAGAACTAGAGAAGAGAAAACCCGCATGCCACAACCAGAGAAGACCATGCACCACAACGAAGAGCCCGCGTGCCGCAACTAAGACCCAACACCAAAAATAAATAAAATAAACAAATAATAAATAAATCTTAAAAAAAAGATATAATTTCAACTGCTAAAAAACATAAAACTTACTAATGAAATGATGTCTTTTATAAAAGCCATGGACTTCCACATTCATGCACTCAGGCACTGATGTGTAAACACATAATTAACTGAAATGAGAGGTGTCTCAGTCCACACACTCTGGAGCCCTTGTGCCACAATAACAGAGCCCACGTGCTCTGAAGCCCACGTGCCACAATGTGAGAGAAGCCTGCGTGCCGCGAGAAAGATCCCGCAAGCCACAACTAAGTCCGGACGCAGCCAAAAATTAAAAAAAAAAGAAAAAACAGGTACAAACATGAAAAAATACATAGAATACTTTATCTCCCATCTCTTATTACTGTTACACAGAAATTTAACAGATTAAGATAAAAAAATTTATCACAGTATTAAACACTTCCAAAAATCACTGCATAATTAAAAATCATGACAAAAATGAAATTGAGGGAAAACCTTATCAAGCAAAAATATTTCATCAAACGTCATGATCAAAAGAAAACACTGGATGCATTTCCGCTGAAATTACTGTGGAGAAAACTGGGCTGGTCAGGGCTCCTGCCATTCACCACTATACAGTATGTCTGAGCAAGCAGAGGATGTTTTCCTCCCAAAAAGGGAGGAAAAAATAGAGAGTGAGAGTGAGAAACAGAGAGAGAGAGTCAAAGCGCTAGAACTGTTAAAAGTCACAAACCTAAGGGCATGGATAGGATTAAAGTGACATGAGGGAAAAAGATATTCCATGATAAAGAGACAGCTGGGGTAACTACATAACATCAGACAAAATAAAGACAAAAAATGTCACAAGAGACAAAAAACATTATATCATGATAAAAGGGTTAATTCACCAAGAAGATATAACAATTATAAATATTTATATATCTAACATTAGAGCTCCCAAATATATGAAGCAAACATTGATAGAAATGAAGCAAGAAATAGACAGTAATAGTACAGTAATAGTATAAGACTTCAATGCCCCAGTTATACTTATGGATGGAACCAAACAGAAGATCAGTAAGGAAACAGAGGACTTGAACACTATAAACCAATGGGAACAAATGGATATATAGAGATCACACCATCCAATAACAGCAGAAAACAACCTTGTCAAGCACACATGAAACATTCTCCATGACAGACAATTTGTTATGCCACAAACCAAATCTTAAGAAGTTTAAGAAGACTGAAATAATAAAAAATATCTCCTCTACCTCACGGAAATGAAAACAGAAACAGATAACAGAAGAAAAACAAATATCCATAAAATCTGGAAATTAATCACCTCCTTCTTAAACAACCAACAGGATAAAGAAGGAATGACAAGGGAATTTTTAAAATATCTGGACGAAAATGAAGTATAAAATATAATGTACTGGGACTTCCCTGGTGGTGCAGTGGTTAAGAATCTGTCTGCCAATGCAGGGGATACAGGTTCGAGCCCTGGTCCAGGAAGATCACACATGCCGCAGAGCAGCTAAGCCCGTACGCCACAACTATTGGGCCTGAGCTCTAGAGCCCACAAGCCACAACTACTGAGCCCACGCACCACAACTACTGAAGCCCATGTGCCTAGAGCCCGTGCTCCACAACAAGAGAAGCCACCACAATGAAAAGCCTACGCATCGCAACAAAGAGTAGCCCCCGCTCGCTGCATCTAGAGAAAGCCCGTGCGCAGCAATGAAGACCCAACGAAGGCAAAAATTAATTAACTAATTTTTTTAAAAAAGGAGAAAAGATCTCAAATCAGAACAAAAGAGATAATAAAGATAAGACCAGAGATAAATGAAATATAAAATAGGAAAACTACATAAAAATCAAAAAAGCAAAAGTTGGTTTTTTGAAAGGATGAACAAATTGTCACTTAGCTAGGCTAAAAAAAAGAAAAATATTGAATTAACTAAAATCACAGATGAAAGAGGAAAAACTGTAACTGAATCACAGAAAATTTTAATCACTATTAAAAGAGTACTACGAACAATTTTATGCCAAAAAATTACATAACCTAAAAGATATGAGTAAATTCCTAGAAAAACACCCTACAAAGATCTAATCACGAAGAAATAAAAAATGTGAACAGAGTCATACCTAGAGAGATTGATGCAGTAATCAAAAACCTGCAAAGCAAGGATGATTCAGCACACACAAAAAAATCAATCAATACACATTAATAGAATGAATGAAAAATAACACATGATCATCTCAATTGATGCCAAAAAAGCATTTGACAAAATTCAAGGACATTTAAAGATAAAAACACTCAGTAAATTACCTCAGTATAATTACAGCTAATATTAAAAGCACATAGCCAAGGTGCCTCTCCCTGCCCCGTCCTTGGTGCGCCGCGGCCACCGAGCCCAGCGAGCCCAGCGGAGCCACCCGCGCCGCGTCGCCGGTTTAATTGCAGTGCGGGGCCGCGGCCGGGGGCAGCGGTAGTAAGACCAGCGCTGCGCCCCAGCCCCCCTTTCCCTCCATGGTTTCTCTCCGCTCCCGTGAGTAACTTGGCTCCGGGGGGCCCCGCTCGCCTGCCCGCACGCCGCCCGCCGCCCGGGACCACGCCGCCGGGCACTGCTGCTAGCAGACCCCTTCTGACCGCCCTCTCGCTGCGCAGGCTGGGACGCCTCTCCCCGCTACGACCCCCGCCACGGATAGTTAAGTTTGAAGAGGGGGGAAGAGAGACACATGGACACGAAGAGGAGGATCCACCTGGAGCTGAGGAACCGGACCCGGCAGCTGTTCGAGAGCTTGTCCTGGACAACTGCAAATCAAATGATGGGAAAACTGAGGGCCTACTGGCTGAATCTGCGAACTTAAGAGTTCCTCAGTTTTATAAACGTAGGCTTGATTTCAGTTTCAAATCTCCCCAAACGACCTAAATTGAAAAAGCTTTGAGCCCAGTGACCACAGAATCTTTGAAGGTCTGGATATGTTAGCAGAAAAACTTCCAAATCTTACACATTTAAACTGAAGTGGAAATAAACTGAAAGATACCAGCACCCTGGCACCTTTGAAAAAGTTGGAATGTCTGAAGAGCCTGGATCTGTTTCACCGTGGGGTTACTAACCTGAATGACTACGGAGAGAGTGTCTTCAAGCTCCTGCCCCAGCTGACCTACCTGGAGGGCTATGACCGAGAGGACAGTGAAGCCCCAGACTCAGATGCTGAGGTGGATGGTGTGGATGAAGGAGAGGACGATGAAGAAGAAGACAAGGACCAGGGGGAGGAGGAGGACGGAAGAGTGTGATGATGATGAAGATGTAGAAGGGGAGGATGAAGACGAAGTCAGTGGGGAGGAAGAATGTGGACATGATGGAGAAGCTGATGATGAGGACGAGGATGAGGAGGAGGAGCAAAGCGGGAAAGGAGAAAAGAGGAAGAGAGAAACAGACGATTTAAGAGAAGATGATTAAGTCCCCAAAAAACCTGCGAAAAAAGAACTGCTCACATGGATTTGGTAGCTGTTAAAAAAAAAAAAAAAAAGGTAGCAGTGATACAAACCCCAGGACACCCACCCACCCAAAGAGCCAAAGAATAGTTCCTGTGACATTTCGCCTTCCTCCATTTAGTCCCTCTTGGAAATCCACCACCAAGCTTGGGGATTTCACCCCAACAGAGCTTAAGCGTTGTTAGGTTTTCGTGTAAGACTCTTGCTGTAGCGTGGATAGCTGTGATTGGTGAGTCAACCGCCTGTGGCTGCCAGTTACACTGAGATTGTAACAGCATTTTTACTTTCTGCACGACAAAGAAGCTTTGTAAATAAAATCTTAACATTTTGGGTCTGTTAAAAAAAAGAAAAAAAGCACATAGCTAACATCAAAATCAATGGTAAAAGATGAAAGCTTTTCCTTGAAGGTCAGAAAGAACGCAAAGATGTACACTCTCTGCACTACTATTCAGCAACGTACTGCAATACCCAGCCAGAGCAATTAGGCAAGAAAAATACAGAAGTAAAATTATCTTTTTTTTTGCAGATGACAAGATCTTATATGTACAAAACCATAAAGATACCGCAAGAAAAATGTTATAAATAAAAAACGATATTAGAAAAGTTGCAAGATACAAAATCAACACACAAAAAAATCACTGCTTTTCTATACACTCAAAATGAATAATCTGAAAGGAAACAATCATTTTTACTATAGCAACAACAAAAAAAACACTTAGTAGTAAATTTAGCCAAAGAGGTGAAAGACTTGTACACTGAAAACTACTAAACTCTGCTAAAAAATAAACAGAAACACATCCCCTACTCATGAATTGGAAGACTTAATGTTAGAATTCATATGGAATTTTAAGGGATTCCAAGTAGACAAAACACTCTTGAAAAAGAAGAAAGATGGATGCCGTGCTGTTTTAGATTTCAAAACATATTAAAAAGCAAAATAGCATGGCATTGGCATAAACCGATACGTAAACAAATAAACCAGGGATTTCTCTGGTGGTCCAGCAGGTAAGACTCCGTGCTGCCAATGCAGGGTTTGATCCCTGGTCCAGGAACTAGATCCCATATGCATGCCACACTAAGAGTTTGCATGCCACAACAAAGAAGTCTGCATGCCGCAACTAAGAAGTACACATGCTGCAACTAAGAAGTACGCATGCCGCAACTAAGAAGTACGCATGCCGCAACTAAAGATCCCACATGCCACAACTAAACATGTTGCAATGAAGATCCCGCGTGCCACAACGAAGACCCGGTGCAGCCCCAAAATAAATACATAAATTAAAAAAAAAAAAAAGAATAAAACAGAACATTCAAAAGTAAACCCCTGCACATACGCCAACTAATTTTTGACAAGGATGCTAAGACTACACAATGCAGAAAGGACAGTCGAATCTTCAACAAATGCTGCTGGGAAACTGAGTATCTACCAGTAAAAGAATGAAGCTGAAACATTACCTGCATCAAACTTAAAAAACCTTCTGTGTGTCAAAGGACACAGTGAGTAGTGTGAAAAGACAACCCCCAAGGAATGAAGGTGACGAAGATGATTTAAAGAATCTCTAAGTGTCAGAGACTTAGGTTGATTTCATAGTTTAAAATCAGTGATGGAATAAAACACCATCTATCACTGATGCCTCTGAACTTTCCATTCCATTCCCAATGATTAAGATTTTGAATGAAGTACACTCATTTAGCTTCAAGTGTACTAAAACAGTCAGAACTGATTTCCCCTTATTGGTCTATGTTCTAGATTTTACCAGGTATTTGTACGTATTACTATGTGACTCCCATGTGCAGCTTGTTTATCAGGGTTTACAGAGAGTGGACGCTGCATCCAGATGGGGCCCCTAAGCAATCCCTGCTGCCCAAGAGCACTGACACGGTATCTCCAACTCATGGGTGTGAAGCCCTGCCCAGGACTATGCCTAGTGGAGACTCTAAGTGGAGATGACAGCCCCTGAGGGAAGCCCCCAGGTGAGTGTGAATGTACAGGTGTCAGGCTCAGAGTCAGAGATTAGCGAGTCCAAAGAAGGGCATTTCAGGAAGGACAGACAAAAGAAACAACTGAGAATATGACTTTACCTGAGAAAGAGCCATTTCTGACTCCTTTTCTTTCCTCTCCCTCCTCTTCTGAGTTTCTTCCTCAGGCAACGTGAATCTTTAGAGGTTGACCTTGAAAGTTGAAAACAGGCTGTTTAATGCTTACAATCAACACACCCCTTCCTGAGTCACCACCACACACACAGGGAAGCCCTCAGCATGTGGAACAAACGGTCCTCTGCTGCCCACCGTCCCAGGAGCGACTCAGGACAGTAACTCCCATACAGAGACCAACAAGTCAGTTTTCCCACCCTTTCCTTCAGTTCAGGCTCCCCTCCTGGTGAGGCCCTCACATACGCAGCAGCAGCAGCGGGCACCTCAGCTGGACCCGACGATCCCCTTCAGGTCACAGACCAGCCCTGATCCATCCCCACGCAGAGCAGAGCCCTCACCCTCAGCCCAGATCTCAGCCCTCAGGAACGGGAGGACCTGGAGCCATGATGCTCAAATGGTTACAAATTAGAATCACCCGGGGAATTTTAAATATTACTGAGGCTGGGCCAAACCTCAACTATTTGAAGGGGAATATCGGGTCAGGGGACACAAAACATATGTGCAAAATGCCTCAGCAATCTGATGTGAAGTCTGGGTTAAGCACCACTCAGAGGAATCAAGCCCAGCACACCTCTCACTTTGTCTTTTCCAGCTTTACTGAGGTATAACTGACTAATGAAAATGGTATATAATATATGTATGGTATACATGTGATCACTTGACAGGCATATGCACTGTGAAATATTTATCACAATCAAGGAATTAACATATCTATCAACTCACAATGACCATTTTTCATGTCTGTGCAGTGAGAACACTTAAGATTTACTCTCAGAACTTCCCTGGTGGCGCGGTGGTTAAGAATCTGCCTGCCAATGCAGGGGACACGGGTTCGAGCCCTGGTCCGGGAAGATCCCACATGTTGCGGAGCAACTAAGCCTATGAGCCACTACTGAGCCTGCGCTCTAGAGCCCGTGAGCTACAACTACTGAAGCCCATGCGACTGGAGCCTGTGTTCCACAACGAGAAGCCACCACAGTGAGAAGCCCATGTACCGCATCGAAGAGTAGCCCCTGCTCACTGCAACTAGAGAAAAGCCCGTGTGCAGCAATGAAGACCCAATGCAGCCAAAAATTTTTTAAAATTTTAAAAAAAATTTACTCTCTCCAAAAATTTCAAGTATTTAGTAGCACAGTATGATTAACTATAGTGACTACGCTATATATTACTCCAGAACTTACTCATGTAACAACTGGAAGTTTGTACCTGTTGACCCACATCTCCCAATTTTCCCCACCCCCAGGTAACCACCATTCTACTGTCTGTTACTATGAATTTGACTTTTGCAGAATGCACATATAAGGGAGACCATACAATATCTGTCTCTCTCTGTCTGGCTTACTTCACTTAGCATAATGTTCTCTACACTGATCCAAGTTGTCATAAATGACAAATCTCCTTAATTTTTATGGCTAAATAATATTTCACAATGTTTTCATTACCCACTAATCTATAATCAGACATTTAGGTTGTTTCTGTACCTTGGCCGTTGTGAAATATACACATAAGCAGTAACGCTCGTGTGAGTTTGGGGATGTTCTTCAATATACTGCTTTCATTTCCTGTTTTTATTTTCTTTTGTTTTTGTTTTTTTAGATATACTATCAGAAGTGGGATTGCTAGATCCTGTGCCTGTTCTATTTTCAATTTTTAAGGAAATTCCTTACTGTTTTCCACAAAGCTGCACCATTTACATTGCCACCAATAGTGCACAAGGGTTCCCCATTCTTGGTATTTTGTGTGCACATGCGTGTGTGTGCATGCCCTCTTCATCATGACTCGATGGGTTTTGTTGGAAGGTTTCAGGTCATTTGCAGAGAATGGTCAAAAGGGACCTGAGGGAAACATCTTGTCACCTCATAGCTCACTCTTTTACCAGATCACACAAAAAGGAAGAAAGAAGACTATTAGACTAACTGGTTAAACTAGGTTTTGACAGTTAATATAAAAGATCATGGGCTTTCCCTCACGGCGCAGTGGTTAAGGGTCTGCCTGCCGATGCAGGGGACACGAGTTCGTGCCCCAGTCTGGGAAGATCCCACATGCCGTGGAGCAGCTGAGCCCGTGAGCCATGGCGGCTGAGCCTGCGCGTCCACAGCCTGTGCTCCGCAACGGGAGAGGCCACAACAGTGAGAGGCCCACGTATCGCAAAAAAAAAAAAAAAAAAAAAAAAAAAAGATCATTGACATCTTTACCAAGTACTCATCAAAATAATCTAAGACAAAGAGGAAGAAGCACACAGATATCGAATAAACCTCAAAAAATTTTAAAGGGAAATAATTTGTGAATTGTTTTAATCTAATAATTCTGGTGTCAAAGATAAAAAAATTGAGAATATATCATAATTAGAAAAAAATGACATGACTTGATTATAGAAGACCAGCAAAGGTTATTTCAGAAGTTAATAATTATTTATAGGAAAGTAGAAATTGAATACAGTAAGATTTATTCCAAACTACAAAAATAATTAAATGTAAAGAAAACAGCAAGAAAAAAGTAAATCCAGTACAAAAAAAAAAAAAACCCCCACACTTAATGTTCCTTTAAAAAGGCACCATGAAAAAAAAATAAAAATAAAATAAAAAGATAAAAATAAAAAGGCACCATGTAGGGTTTCCCTGGTGGTGCAGTGGTTAAGAATCTGCCTGCCAATGCAGGGGACATGGGTTTGAGCCCTGGCCCGGGAAGATCCCACATGCCGCGGAGCAACTAAGCCCGTGTGCCACAACTACTGAGCCCACGTGGCACACCTACTGAAGCCTGTGCGCCTAGAGCCCGTGCTCCGCAACAAGAGAAGCCACGCCAATGAGAAGCCCGCGCACTGCAACGAAGAGTAGCCCCCGCTCACCGCAACTAGAGAAAGCCCGTGCATGTGCTCGCTTCGGCAGCACATTTACTAAAATTGGAATGAGAAAGCCCGTGCACAGCAACGAAGACCCAACACAGCCAAAAATAAATAAATTTATTTTTTTAAAAAAGGCACCATGTAGTGACAGAGTCAGTCATTTCTCACTGTATGATTCCTGTCCATAGTCCTCTACCCCATGTTAGGAAAAGGGAAGGGGGTGACCCACAACGGAGTGACGTCACTGCCCGCTGGCTGAACAGGGCTTGCAAATGGAAGTTATCTTCTGTTACAAATAATTACAAAATGCACAAGCCCTGTGCACAGGAGTTCTGCACTTCTCACCCTTATCTGTATAATGTAAACACACAAGTTTTATTTGCATTAGATTCTAAAGCCGCAAATCAATATATTACACCTTAATCATCCATATTCAAACAACTCACCGTCCATCTGGATCCGGTTTCCCCCCTCTACCTGTACTACTATGTGTTTCCATGTCATTCCGTTTATATATCTCTGTATTTCATTCTCTGTCTCTTTTTATTCCCCTATGCTCTACTGCCCTTTCTCCCCGCCTATTTCTTCCCTCACTCCCGTCCCGCCGCACTCTGCAACTGGTTATTCCTCTTGTTCTTCCTCCTCAACCTTTCTGACTGCCCGAAACCTCCATATATTTCTTCCTCTTTCTTTCTCCATCTCTGCTCCCTCTCCGTCCTCGGGTTACACCCCTTCTATCCCTGTCACCTTCCCTTTGACTTCCACTCTCTGGCACCCCACACGGCTACGTCTCCTTCCTGCTCTCTCTTCCTCTGCTTTCGCCTCCAGTTGTCCTCTTTTTCTCCCAGCACCATGTTGCTCTGTTGGCCATTCTCCAAATAAGTTGAACTAGGGACCGAAGAACACTGGGTGTTCACGCAGAAAGTCCGGCCTGAGGAGAAGCGAGGACAGAGGAGCGGGGGGGTGGGGGTCTCCGGAGAGGGGCGGGCTCTCCAGAATCCCAGGACCGGGGAGAGGACGCGGCCTCTCCGGGAGCGGGGCAACCAGCGCTGCCCTCCAGAGGGCGAGGCTTGGGGGACGCGCATCCACCTCACGGAAGAGGGCTTTACAGGCCGAAGGCGGAGACAGTAAAAGGTTTCAAGCAGCAAAACGGCGCGAAAGGCGGTGTCTACGTGGACCGAAGGCCGAAACCCGAAGGACCGGGACGGGCCTCAGAGCGATTTCAACCCCAAAGGGAAACGACCCCCACTGTGAATTTCTTTAGGATGTAAGGGCGGGGGCGAGTACTTAAAATTCCGCAGTAAGGGGCTTCCCTGGTGGCGCAGTGATTGAGAGTCCGCCTGCCGATGCAGGGAACACGGGTTCGTGGCCCGGTCCGGGAAGATCCCACATGCCGCCGAGCGGCTGGGCCCGTGAGCCATGGCCGCTGAGCCTGCGCGTCCGGAGCCTGTGCTCCGCAACGGGAGAGGCCACAACAGTGAGAGGCCCGCGTACCCCAAAAAAAAAAAAAAAATTCCGCAGTAAGTCCCACACTCTGAGGATGTATGGGGCGGGGGGGGGCGAAGCGCACAAAGAGTAGAAAGAAGAAACTCACGCACCGAAGAGTGACTTCAGCTCTCCGTGGTGACCCAGGTTAGTCTCTCCGCTTCCGTGTCCGTAGAACACTGCGCAGGCGCAGAAGGAGCTGCATGGGGGCGGGGACTGCGAAAGGTGCTTACGCGAGGAGGCGGGGCGAGGAGAGCGCCCAGGCCTGCGGGGGAGCCTCCCCAGAGGGCGGGGGCAGGAGGCGGGGGCCTCTGCCTCCCCTCCCCCACCCCCAGCCCTGCCTGTAAAGCGTCTCTTTAGGAATTTAGAAACGTGTGTCTTTTGAACTGTGTAGCCACTTTGCCTCCTGCTTATTTTGATTTACTGTTGAAACCAAAGCTAGTCACCAGTTAGATCTATTTAACTTACTAAATAAATAATAAACTGTAACCTGCTTTTGAGTATCAAGCCCACTTTAATTATTTTTAGGAAAGCTTGCACATCCTGTAAGTGTCATTTAGCAAAAGATGTTTGTCCAAGTTGTTTTTTAGAAACTTGGAGTCAGCTGTATCCA